ATTCTGCTCAACATTTCTTTTTTTATTTTTGGGTGAGTCAACATTTCTTATACCACAGCAGTATTCCATCACAATCACATGCCACAACTTGTTCAGACATTCCCCAATTGACGGGCATCCCCTGGATTTCCAATTTTTTGCCACCACAGAAAGAGGTACTATAAATATTTTTGTACAAATAGGTTCCTTTTGGGGCAGCTAGGTGGCGCAATGGATAGAGCACAAGCCCTGGATTCAGGAGGACCAGAATTCAAATCCGGCCTCAGACACATAACACTTACTGGGCAAGTCACTTAACCCCACTGCCTAGCCAAAAAACCAACCAAACAAAAACAAATAGGCTCCTTTCCCCTTTTTTTTTTTTAAATTTCTTTAGAATAGAGACCTGGTAGTGATATTGCAGGGTCAAAGGGTATGCAGATTTTTAGCCCTCTCATTGTTCTAAATCCCACAAGTGCTTACTAAGCACCTACTGTGTGCCAGCACTAGGGATTCCAAGGAGATTAGCCTACATTCTAATGGAGCAGACAGTGAGTATGGAAAGAGGCCTATATAAAACCTCTGATGACCAGGAAAGGCTTCAGTTTAGTCCTGAAAGAAACTAGAGATTGTAAAAAGTTGTTCTTTGTCCTTCATTCTGGAAGAGGACCATGACCTCTAAGAGGTTTAGGTGAAAAAGGAAGGAGTGTATTCAGGAAAGGAAATGCCCCATATGGGTGAACAAAAGACCACCAGACTGCCTGGACAGACTGCAGAGAGAATGGAGGGGATTGGGCATAATAAGTCTGGACGGGTAGGCCAGCTGGGGGCCAGGTTGTGAAAAGCTTTAAATATCAAACGGAAACATTTGCATTTGATCCTAAAGGTGACAGGGAATCAGAGATGACTGAGGAGGGAGTGGCGAATTGAGACCCATGTGCACTCACGTGGTGAGTGCTACGCGCTATGTGTAGTACAGACTGGAGTGGGGAAAGAGGGGAGGCAGGAGAGAGGTCAGAAAGGCCTAATTGGATGACTGGGTGGCCATGTAGAGCCAGAGACAATGAGGAGTGCAGGGCTTTAACTTGACTGGCCAGAAAATGGTGTTTCAACAGAATAAAGCAGCTCAATAACTGAATGAATGCAAGAGCGTGTATGAAGCACTTGGCAAGCCTGCCAGGCACTGTGCTAAGCACCGAGAATGTAAAAGATTGAAAAAGCAGCAGTTCCTGGCCTCAAGGAGCTTACACTCTAAGATGGAAAGACAGCAGAGCTAAGGGGGAGAAGTAAGCAGGGAAAGGCATCATCTGGGGAGCTGGCCAATGGTTTGGGGAAGGGTGGATGCACACAGCAGGAGGTAGGTGATAGATGGCTCAGGGGGAAGAGGAGCTAACGCAGAGCCTGGCATCTAGGGCCAACCTGTAGAGACCAAAGATGGAGTGCACTGCTTTGCACTTACTCAGTCACCTGCTAATGAGGCTGGGCAGCAGCCCCAAAAGTGAGTGGATGTATTTATCAAGGGACTGGGGCATGGATTCAAGAAGTTCATAAGAGGGGTGGGTTTGGAGGAAAAGATAGGAGTTTTGTTTTATACTTGGTGAATTTCAGATGCCTCCAGGACATCTAGTTTGAAATGTCCAAGGAACAGTTAACTGCATTGGACTGAATCTAAGGAGTCAGGAATCCAGCCTCAGACACTCACAAGTTGTGTGACCCTGGACGAGTCACTTAAATTCTCTCTGTGCCTCAATTTCCTCATTTATAAAGTGGAGTTAGTTATACTACCTATCTTACAGAGTCACTGTGAAGGTCAGATAAGTTCATGTAAAATGCTTTGCAAACCTTTAATTGACACAGAAATGCTAGCTACTACTGTAGAGAGGGCAGCTAGGTGGTATCACAGTGCAGGGTGTGGAGTCAGGAAGACTCATTTCCCTGAGTTCAAATCCCGTCTCAGACACTTAGTAGCTGTGAGACCCTGGGCAAGTCACACCCCCGAGTTTGCTTCAGTTTTCTCCCCTGTAAGATTAACTGGAGAAGGAAATGGCAAACTACTCCAGCATCTTTGCAAAAACCAAACCAAACCAAACCCAAGTGGTGTTACAAAGAGTCAGACATAACTGAGCAATGACCACTGTAGATGTCATTATACCCAATGAGAGTTAGGGAGTCACCAAGAAAGCATAAAGAGAGGAAGGGAGGGAGCCTAGGACACAGCCTGTTATGGGGCATAGCCCACTATTAGGGGACCTGATGTGCATTCTGACAAGGCTTATCTCTTTACTGGAGACTGGAGAAAAGGAGCAGAAAATGGGGAATACGTTAAAGGCCTCATCAAGAAGTAGGGGCAGAGTTCCTGGGAAATGGTCTCCACTCCTCAGGAAAGTATGAATCGAGACTCTTAGATGAAAAGGCACGAGGTGAAAGGCTGGTTGGCTGGGACAGAGAACCAATGAGAGAGGAATAAAAGGGCTGTCCTGGAGCCATCCAGGCAGAAGGCCCTGGGCCCTTCTACAGAACACCACTATGTGAACACGCTCCTGTGTCTCTCTCTAAAAATCTGACTACATCAATTTCTGCAAGTGAGAAGGGTAGAGTGGAGAACAAAGGGAACCCCAGGAGGGCTGAATAGTGTTACTCTACCAAGACCCTTCCCTTCTAGAGGCCAAAGTCCTCTTCTTCTTCTTTTTTTTTGTGAGGCATTTGGGGTTAAGTGGCTAGCGAGTGTTACGTGTCTGAGGCCGGATTTGAACTCAGGTCCTCCTGACTCCAGGGCTGGTGCTCTATCCACTGTGCCACCTTGCTGCCCCCAAAGTCCTCATTTCTAATGAGGTGCTAAGCTAGATCACCTCTAAAGCCAAAGCTCTGGTATTCCATATGCTAAGGCCCCTCCCAGCCCTGACATTCCCTGTCCTGTGTTCTAGGCCCCTTCCAGTTTATTCTCTACTGAGATTCTGGTGTCGGTCTCCACTGACATCGGGGCTAAGCTCTCTCCTTTAGCTAGGCTGTGGTCCTCTTGGAAACAAAGGCTGAACCACAGCAGCCCTCAGGACCCTTTCAGTCCCCAACACCCCACCCTCTTCTCACCAAACAGAATCTAATTCATTCAGCGCCTTTTCCCTTTAGCCAGGACTGCTGCCTCCAGCCTCTCCCCACTCTTTAACTGCTCTTCTCAGAGCAATCTTCCTTTGGCGCAAGTCTGACCGCTTCATGCTCCGCCTCCATGTTCAAGACCCTCAGTGGCTCTCTACTGCCTGGCCTGCTGATCCTGGTCTTTCCAGGTGTGGGTCCACTTCGCCTCTCCAGCCTCCTTTCCCATGACTTACCTCAGATTAACCAACATTTATTAAACACCCGCTATGTGCCAGGTGGGCTGCTAGGTGGCGCCATAGTGCACAGAGCTCTGGGCCTGGAATCAGGAAGACTCATCTCCCCGAGTTCAAATTTGGCCTCAGACACTGACTAGCTGTGTGACCCTGGGCAAGTCACTTAACCCTCTCTGCCTCTGTTCCTCAACTATAAAATGAGCTGGAGAAAGAAATGGCAAACCACTCCAGGATCTTTGCCAAGAAAACCCCACATAGGGCCACGAAGAGTCGGACAACTCTGAAAACCACATGTGCCAGGCACCGTGTTGTGCTGGGGATACAAAAAGAGGCAAAAGACAGTTCCTGCCCTCAAGGAGCTCATCATCTACTGGAGGAAACAATAAGGAAACCAAGCTGTACATACAAACTTTATATGGGACATAGAGGATATGATTAGCTGAGGAAAGGCTTCCCATAGTAGGTGAGATTCCCGCTGGGACTTACAGGAAGCCAAGGAGGTTGGAGCAGAGGAGGCAGAGCCTTCTAGGCCTGGCAGGCAGCCACAGAGACTGCCCGGAGCCCAGAGGTGGAGGCTCTTGTCCCTGGAACGAAGCTCCCTTCACCCCACCTTCCCATTAAATTTGTCTTTTCCTTCAAGGCCCAACTCCCAAGTGGCTCTTTCCATGCACTTCCCCCAGTTCGCCCTGCAGAAGAGGGACCTCTTTCTGCTCCCATTTCTCCTAGCAGACTTCCCCAAGCTGTCCTTCACACTCACCACCTTCTGCCTCACACTCCGGCTATTTGTGGATACAGAGGAGGTATAGGAGGGCTGTGACCCATCCCAAGGGAGCCAGGGGCTGATGAGCCTCCCCTTCCCCCACCTCAGGAGAGTACAAGCTCTTTGAGGGCAGTCTGAGTCAGCTCTCATCCAAGCAGCCTCAGAGCTGATACAAGGGATGGCCCATAGTAGGCATTAAGAAATATTTCGGGGGCAGCTAGGTGGTGCAGTGGATAGAGCACCGACCCTGAAGTCAGGAGGACCTGAGTTCAAATCTGGCCTCAGACCAAACACTTGACACTTACTAGCCGTGTGACCCTGGGTAGGTCACTTAATTGAATAGTGTTACTCTACCAAGACCCTTCCCTTCTAGAGGCCAAAGTCCTCTTTTTTTTTCTTTTTGGCAAGGCAACTGGGGTTAAGTGACTTGCTCAGGGTCACACATACCCCAATTGCCTAGAAAACTAAAAAAAAAATTGGGGAATTGAACCCCACCTTCTAAGGTGAAGCTCTGACACTTTGTGGTTAAAGGTCTGAGGATTCTCAGCTATGGCACTGTATGCTCCAGGTTCCAAAGTCTCTCCCAGGGTGAAGACTCTATGTTCTGCCTTAGAAGGTCCTTAAGGACCCTCCTCACCTTGATGTTCTTAAGATCCCACACAGCTCTGAAAGTCTATGCTATGTGTTCCCAGCCCTATTGCCACTCTGATACATATGTTCTAAGGTGTCTCTCAGCTTTCTCGTTTTATGCTGTGTTCTGAGGTTTCTGCCAGTTCTGACGTTCTCTGATCCACAGTTTAGCTCTGAAATTCTAGGACATTGCCCTGACAGCCTTTGCCTGTCCCCCTCCCCCTTCTCTTCTTTCATCCTTCTGCCTCCCCTTCTCCAGTATCTTCTCCTCTCTCCCTCCTCCCCTCCCTCTTGAATCCCCACTCCCCTTCTCCTCCCTCCCTCTCCTCTCAGCCCCGCCTGCTGAATGTGATGGGGAGAGGGGCGGGAGAGAGCTGAAGCCTCGCCACCTGATCGGGCAGAGCTGAGGCAGCGGAGCCGGAGCCGGGACTCAGAGCCTGGGGCTGCGACAGCCAAGGTGTCCAGAGGGCCTGGGAAGATCTGCTGTTCCGCCGAAGCATCCCCTTTCCTAGCTCTGGGACCCCCACTTTCCCTGCATCACTGGGCTCAGACCTTTCCCACCTCTGGTGAACGCCTGGACTCGGGGGCCCTGATGTTGGATTGGAACTAACGACCCCGGAGCCCCCGGAAAGTGTGGGGGGGTGGTGAGGAAGCAGCCAGGATCCTGAGCAGAGGGAGCCCCAGTGCCGTGAGTAGCGCCTGCAGCAGCTCTGTTTGGGGGGTGGGTGGGGAGGAGATAAGGCAGAGAGGAGACAGCCCAGAGATGGGGAAGCAATGAAGGGCTCTCCCTAACGTGTGGCGGGGTCCACTAGGCTTATGGGGAAAGGAGTAAGGCATGGGGGATAGAAGGACAAATGGGGAGAAACTGGACCAAGGCCTGAACAGAGAAAGCTCATGGAAATGAATAAAGAGAAGTGGGAACGGAATGGGAGAATGGGAGCAAAATCAAAAATATGGAGGCAAGATTTGGGAGAGATGGTGATGACAGGGACGTGGGATGGGGGTGGGGGGCAGAGGTCTGGAAAGACCCTGGGAAGTGCTGTGGAAGATCGGCAGAGAAGGTGGTAGAGATCTGATCCTTGGGGCGCCTTAATTTGTAAGGGTCCGCTTGACACTCTCTCCCAGCAGCCCTGGATGTATTATTGACACTCTCCACTAATTCACCTCTTCAGGTGCCCCTGACTAGTTTAATGTCTACACCTCACTTTCGGGTCGGTTCCTCCTCCTCTCCCTCAGACACCAGACCAGCTCGCCTGGGTCTCAGTTTCTCTTTTTGTAGGAGTGGAGTTGAACCTGGTCTCTAAGCTCCTCTTTGATGTGACATTCTCTATGTCCTCAGGGCCCTCACAGCTCTGACATTCTGTGTGCTCTGTTCTAAGGTCTTTCCAGGTCTGATCTCATCATCTTCTCCTTATTTCTAGATTCCTGTGGGGATAGCAGGAGAGGGAAAGGGAAGGGGGAGGTGTGTGTGTGTCAAACAAAGAATTTTCAAAGCACCAGGTCCCTAATTCCATATTGGTGTCTGCCCTCAAGAGACAGAAAAGCAATTTGTGAAATCAAGCCCTAGGTTGAGGTGAAGCGTCATTACTAAAATTAGTCCCCATACTCTAATTAATCTGAGAGCCCAGAGCGGAGGCTGGGATACTGCAAAATGACCCGCCTGTTTCTGAGGGACCAGATCTGGTGCCAGCAGGTGTTGAGACCCCCACCCCCACCCAGACTCCTGCCCCTCAGCCATGAGGATTCCAAAGAGAGCAAGGAACAGGACAGAGGGCAAAAGTTGAGATCAGAAGGCCAGGGTGTATACGTGATCAATGTCTAGCCTTAGTTTCCTCCTCTATAAAATGGGCCTCTACACTCTCTTACATCCTGTGACCCTAAATCCATTTCAAGTCTGGATCCCCCCAGCTTGTCCTAAACTCCTCTTCTTAACCACAGCAGCCCCCAAACTCCTGTTCCTTCCCGGATTCTGCTCTAGTCTTTGCCTGGGTCCATGCTGATATGGTGTTGTGTAGACTTTACTGCTGAAGGCCAGCAGTAATTCGCATCCCAGAGCTTGCTAGGGAGACTGCTAGAGATGAGAGGGTTGGGAGAGGGGGCTAACCAGTCATGTAGGGCCGGGAGGCAGGGAACAGGGAGAGGCTAGTACACCTGACTTCCACCTCTCCCCTACAGTGGGAACTCCTTGGCTCTGAGAGCTTCCCTACCAGTCACCTCCCCCCTTCCCTAACACTGACAGATCGGGAATATCCCAAGATCTGATTTAAGCTCACAGGGAAGAGAAACAGGCTTAAACCCTGAGGTAGCCAGGGAATAGAACTGTGGTGGGCCTAACAGGAGAACAGAGGTCAGAGGTCTGTGTCCTGGAAAAAGGTAAGGCATGCACTCCTGCCTCAGACCAGAGCCAGCCACACCTCCAAATGTGCAATGCCGGGATAGGGATTTGAAGGTGGTTTCTTCCCTCTTAACCTTGCCTGTCCTCTCCTCTCCCCACAGGCTCCAGGGGGATTAAATCTGTCTGCTGGCCAGTGGAGGGGAAGATTGGGGGGGGGTGTTCCAGAGAAGGAAAGCAGACTGGGGCCCAGTGTCTGGTGGAAAGGTGCAGAACCAGGACATTTCTTTCCTACTGAAATGGGTTTACCTTTAATCCAGGATTAATATTCTGAGAAGGCAGGGTCAAGGGAGGAAGGCCTGTGGCTAGGGAAAGTGAGCAGAGCTATGAAGGCCCTTATTTTCTGCTCTCCTGGGGCCCAGCTGGCCTCATGCCAAGTTGTCTCCATTCTACCCAGTTGCCCATGAGCCCACCTGCCCACACACACACCTTATTCAGGAAGAAGAGGAATCTGAGGGGCAGATGCTTACAGCCTACCCAAGACTGACTAAGGCCCAGAAGCTGATGACCACCAGGTGGAGGGGCCCCTCCCCCTCCTCCTACCCAGGGAGCTCCCCTGAACAAAGCTGACTTTCCATCAGCCCTGGCCAGGAGCCTGCCAGATCTTGAGCAAATGCCAGGACCAAGTTGTGGGAGCTCTCCCCATACTGCCCTTTTGCTCCTACCCTCCTAGGAGACCAGCATCAGTCCTTATTAGTGATAATCATCACATTTCCAACCTGCTCTAAGGCTTACAATCCAAGTGTTATCGCACCCATTTTACAGATAAGTACACTTAATTCTGGAAGAGTAAAGAGCCTTCAAAGCCCGCTCTGGCCTCCTCTGGATCTGGCCTGGCCCTTTCCTCATGAGACTATGTTCAGTTCAGTTCTGCAGAACCCTCCCCACCCCCAACCCCACCGGGCCCAGGGGCCAGCAACAAAGAGCTGACTTACCACTGACAGGGAAGAGCCCAAACAAAGAAGAAAACAAGAAAACCCCGCGCAGACAAAATCGTCCCAGAGTCAGGGCTTTGCCAGGAGGCAGCACTCCGAGTCATGAAAGAGCACAGAGCCTCTTTTTAGCATGAAGGCTGCCGATGGAATGGAGGGGAGAGGCCACGTGGAACCTTCTCCCCCCCTCCCCTTCGCTGTGGTACCATCACCCCACAGTTAGCTTTGGCAACAGACAAGACAGCCTGGGTTTCGAGTACCTAAGGAGGGGAAGCAAGACAGGGGCTCCTCCCTTGCCTTCTCTCCCCTCCGCTCCTAACCTAGTTCCATGAAGATGGGGCTAGGCCTGAAAAGCAGGACTGAGCTCTGGGAATGGAGCGGAGCTGAGTGGGTGGGAGAGGTGGTATGCTGCTTGGTCATAGCAACTGAGCAGCCCAGCAACGCCTCCACAAGTACCTACCCTGTCACAAGCAACCGCCCTGTCAGGGCGTGGGGTTCCCTACAAAGAGATGGGCTCCAGCCCCTGCTTCCTTCCAGGAGCTTACAACCTAAAGGAGAATCCTAAACACAGACATCCTACATCTCTGCTCCAGAGACACAAATCAGGATGCAAGAGAGGCAAGCAGGGGGTAGTGGGAAGAGAGAACTCCAAATCAATGCTCCTGTGAGATGGGGGGGTGACGAGGGGCAGGGTTCCTGGAGACGCCATGTGATGTGGCCCAAGAGGAAAGGAGGGGTTTAGAGGTGGAAGGAATTTCAGCTATCACCAAGCCCTTCCTCATCCTTGTACAGATTGGGACACGGAACCCCAGTCACATAGCTAGTGAATGGCAGAGCTAGGATTCGAATCCAGGTCCTCAGACTCTAACCCGTGCCTTTTTCATGACTTCTTCTGGCCCCCCTGAGTAGATGGTGAGGGTGTGGTAAAATGCGTTCCAGGCACTGGACCCAACAAAGAAGAGAAAGGGATTGGAATGGGGGACAAAGCCATTTTAGACATAGATCTAGGTTTCACCTCATGCGTCCAGTGTGCCTAGCCCTGTGCTGGGTAACGTGGGGAGGACAGAGATGAAGAACGGTCATCCTTCCAGGCAGTACAGCTCACAAGACCCTCGTCACTCGCCCAATCTCCAAAGACAGGGTTGGACGAGCTGGACAGAGGCAGGGTTCAGTCCAGGCTGGGAGGAGGCTCAGGGGAGGCTCCAAAGGGGAACCTGGGACAGGACCTTCAGTAAGACCTTTCCGAGTCCTGCTGCCCATGTCCTGCCCCTACCACTAAAACACCGTAATTCCACCTGAGCCAAGGTCATCACAGACACTGAGGAAAAAGCTTCTCGGTAACTGATCCCCACTGGAGCCAGAAATGTGATCTCTCCTCCTCCCCACCCCCTCTAGACGTAGAGGGTTTTGCTTTCAGCCCAAAGCAGGGCAGAGGGAGGTAAAGAAGGACAGGGTCTGGAGGGAGGAGACAGTGTTTGGGGATAGGTCAGGAGCCACTTCGAGAGCCCGGATGGTGGGCTACAGCGTAAAGGATGCACAGGACCCAGGCTTGACTCGGGACTCTATGACCCACGACTTCTGAGTCCTTGAACGAATCTCCCAGTCTCTTCCTCTATAAAACGCAGAGATTAAACTAGCTGGTCTTTAGGGGACTTCCCAGGGTTGGTATCCTCCGATGCTGTCTACTTCAAAGGACTAAATGTTCATCTCCAATTAGGGCACATTAACCGTCACTGGGACCTTAGTTGTCATCCGTTTCTGTCTCTGGCCCACAGACCCCTGTGTGTAAAATGGGAGGGGGGGAATCGGTGTCTAAGGTTGCTCCTGCTCTGACATTCTCGGTCTTACAAGAGAAGGGTGGGCTCCGCTGCCAACCTTCTCCCCTCCCTTACAGGTGCACCGGGAGAACGCTGGCCCCATTCCCCCCAGCCCAGACGCCCCCCTGGGCTCTGGCCCGACAGGAGCCCATCTCAGGGGGCAGGGGTGGGGCCCGGGCCCCTCCTCCGCCGCATCGCTCTCTGCCCAGACATGCCACCAGTTCTGGCCCGGCTGCAACAAGCAGCCAAGATGGTGATGACCAGGAAGAAGGTGGTGCTGCTGCTGCTCCTGGGTGGGATGCTGAGCCTGCTCCTCCACCAGGGATCGCAGCTCAGCTGGTAAGGAAGGGATGGGGCTGGAGGACTCGTGGTCTACACCTTCCTAGCCTTGGAGACAGGGAGTCCTGGGCCCAGGCTTCCGCAGCGGTGAAATGCCAGGGCGGGGCTGGGTGACCTCCACAGCACAGACAGCGTGACCTAGAAGGGCCTTTCCTTTGCCCCCTCCCTGGAATAAAGAAGTCCTAGCACTTCCGTTCCACATTATTCCACTGGACCCTCCCAAGGCGAGTAGGGCAGCATGACTACTCTCATTTTACAGAGGAGAAAAACAAGTCCCAAGAGTCGGTTCTTGGTCAGGTCACTGAGAACGGCTCTTTTCTTCATTATTCCTCCTTCCTACGCTCTCCAGCAATCATCCAGATGACTAATAGGGGTTTATCTAGAACTCAGGTCATTTTCTCATTCTGGGTCTGTTTCCCCATCTATAGCGCTGGAGAAGATTTTGGGAGGCCCCTGTATTCAAATATGTGACAGACTGGCGTGGAGAAGGATTAGATTCGTTTTTCTTGGCTCCAGAAAGAAAAAATAGGAAGAACAGAGTGGATTTTGCAATAGACAAATCTGGGCTTAAAAAAGTTCCTAACGATTAGAGCCATCCAGAGGTGGGCTGGGCTGGGCCCCTCCTGGGAGGGCTGCAAGCAGAAGCTGGATGACGCTTGCTGGGTCTTTCGTCCCGGGGATTCCTTTCAGGCACAGGTTAGACTAGATGCCCCCGAGGTCCCTTCAGATGCTCAGATTCTGCAAAATGACACAAGTGGCTTCAGGGATGACTCCAATCTCTACTCTTGACCTCTTCTAGCATCGAGTCCACAGAGAAGGGGAAGCTGAGTATGGAGCCCATTCCTGGAGGGAGGAGAGTCACCCCCCCCCATACACCTGACCCACTGGGATGGGGGTGGTGCTGATTTCACACTTTAAGGCCTAGGCCTAGAACACACTCACAAGTCACTGGCTGGCCCTCAGCCTAAGAGGCAGAAAGGGGAAGAGCAAAGTAGGAAGGGTGAGGTCAGAGGCATCCTTCATGGCCTCCAGGTCCCTGGATGTTCCATGAAGTTGATACTGGAGACAAACACTAAATTTGATGGTGCTGAGTCAGGTTAGAACCCTCTTCTCACCTGCTGCCCTCGTCCAACCCGTCTCCTACTTATCTGAAGCAGGGAAGAGGGTCTCCAAGATGGTCAAGGATGGTGGACAAACTGAAAAACACCCCAGTCTTGGAAGACAAAGAAAAGCTGGACAAGAGAGAGGGAGGACAGTAGAGGAAGGAGGGCAAGCCCACATGGGGATATGGGGAATGCAGGCTGTACCGCTGTAAACAATGGGGCCATCTTCAAGGGGAAGAAAGCCAGACAGGTCACTGCAGGCAGCTTCCATCAGGTCAGGGCTAGCAGGAGGCTACCCCATGTTTGCAGGTGAGGGGGCCAGCCTTCAGATGACAGGCAGGCACCCAGAGCTGGCTCTGATGCATGACCCTTGGGTGACCCCTGAGAGTCCTCCAGTAGAAAAGCTGAGAGGTGGGAGTCTCTTCATCTGGACTCCCCAGTGGCAGTAGAATCATGGGAGACCAAGCCTCTTCAAAAGGGGAATAGGCTGCCCTGGGAGGGAGGGGGCTCACCCTCACTGAAACTGGCTGACCACTTGGAGCACTACGTGGATGTGGGGACAGACAAGATGGTCACTAAAGGGGCAGTCCTAACTGGGATGGGATGGCTCCCCTGGGAGGCAACTCCTGCCTTCACGACCACAGGCAAGCACAACTGTAAGTGGTGGGGTTTGGACTCGGGACATCCCAGGGGCTGACCCTGCTGCTCCCCAGGCCCTTTCCCTCTCTGGGCCTGTTTGCTCATCTGTAAAATGGATGACCCTGACAGCCGCTCAGGCTCCAGAACCCCACATCAAGCTCAGCCCCGCTGCTTTACCACCGTGGAAGCCTGGGGACTTGTTTCCCTTAGATGGCCTCCAAGCCCTACAGGATCAGTACATGGGGTGGTCTCAGGGCAGTCCCTTCCAGCCTTGGGTCTTGGGCAGTGAGGGTGGTGCAGGGGATAGAGCACTGTACCGGGAGTAACGAAGACCTGCACTCACATTCGGCCTCACACACTTAGTAAGGTGTGTCAGTTTCTTCAGCTGTAAAATGGTGGTAAGGCTCAAATGTAAAGAGCTTAGCAACACCTGGCACACAGTAAGCGCCAGGTAAATGTTAGCATTATCAGAACTAGCAGGAGGGCACAATCCTCAAGTAGACTTGAGACTGATGTTCTTTCTGGTTCTGATCTCGGGAGGAGATCCCGTCCATAAACGTTCACTAAGCACTTTCTACGTACCAGTGCAGCCAGAGGGGCCACACCGGGCACCAGGCCTGGAGTCAACAACAGTCTGGCCTCAGACACTTCCTAGCCATGTGACCCTGGGCAAGTCACTTAATCCCGTTTGCCTCAATCTCCTCTTCTGTCAAATGAGCTAGAGAAGTATCTTTGCCAAGAAAACCCCAAATGGGGTCACAGAGCGGGACAGTGCTGAAAAAGACCGAACAACGCTATGTGCTCGATACCATACGAAGAAAGGTAAAAGCCAGTCCCTGTCCTTTAGCGACAGTCCAGGCGTGAGGTGATGAAGGGCAGGGTCAGAGAAGGGGCCTTTGGGTGACCAGGCTGGATGGAGGGTGGGGGGGAGGGGGAAAGTGGAGCGTGGAGGAGGATCCCTAGGTTGGCGGGTTGGGGAATGGCGATACCTTCCACAGTAAGGGGGGGGGTGTTTAACGGCAAGGGTAATGAGTTGTCTCATACATGTGACCTCAGTTTCCCCAAATTTAAGCAGGACTAGATGGCCACGGTTCATTACAACTCTAAAGCTATGATCTGGGCGGGGGTGGCTGCAATGTCACAAAGGTGGTCCTCGGCAGATCCGGGGGCGGGCCTCAGTTTACCCCTCCCTTGGAAGGCTCCCCCCCCCACGTCACTGGGTCTCCCTTCCCGTCCCCACCAGGTCCCTCGGGTCACGCGCGCTCTCCCCTCCCCTCCCCCCGCAGGTCCCCCCGGCTGCTGTTCCCCGGGGCCCCGTGCCCGGCCGGCCGCACGCGGCCCAAGCACACGGCCGTGGCCTTCGTCAAGACGCACAAGACGGCGGGCACGACGGTGCAGAACATCCTGTTCCGCTTCGCCGAGCGCCACAACGTGACGCTGGCGCTTCCGCGGCCCAGCTGCGAGCACCAGTTCTGCTACCCGCGCGACTTCTCGGCGCGCTTCGTGCACCCGGCCACGCGGCCGCCGCGCATGCTCGCCAGCCACCTGCGCTTCAACCGCGCCGAGCTGCGGCGCCTGCTGCCCAACGACACGGTCTACGTCACCATCCTGCGCGAGCCGGCCGCCATGTTCGAGTCGCTCTTTAGCTACTACAACCGCCACTGCCCGGCCTTCGTGCGCGTGCCCAACGGCTCGCTCGAGGCCTTCCTGCGCGCCCCGCGCGCCTACTACCGGCCGGACGAGCGCTACGCCATGTACGCGCACAACACGCTGGCCTACGACCTGGGCGGCGACAACGAGCGCAGCGCGCTCGACGAGCCCGCCTACCTGGCGGGCCTCATCCGCGACCTCGAGGCCGCCTTCTCCCTCGTCATGATCGCCGAGTACTTCGACGAGTCGCTCGTGCTGCTGCGCCGCCTGCTGGCCTGGGACCTGGAGGACGTGCTCTACGTCAAGCTCAACGTGCGCAGCGCCTCCTCGCGCCTGGCCGCGCTGCCCGAGGGCCTGGCGCGCGCCGCGCGCCGCTGGAACGGCCTCGACGCCGGCCTCTACGAGCACTTCAACGCCTCCTTCTGGCGCCGCGTGGCGCGCGCCGGCCGCGAGTGCGTGCAGCGCGAGGCGCGCCAGCTGCGCGAGGCGCGCGAGCGCCTCCTGCACCGCTGTTTCGGGCCGCGCCCGCGCCTGCGCCCGGCCGCCGAGATCCGCAACAAGCAGCTGCAGCCGTGGCAGCCGCTGGGCAACGTGGGCATCGTGGGCTACGACCTGCCCAGCCGCCCGCCGGGCCCCGGCGGCGACGAGTGCCTCAAGCTGGCCATGCCCGAGGTGCAGTACTCGAGCTACCTGCTGCACAAGCAGAAGCTCCGCGCCTCCGCCTGGGCCGAGCGGGGCCGCGCAGGGGCCGGGGCGGGGGACCGGCCGCCGCCGCCGCCGCCGCGCCCCATCCGAGCCCTGCCGCGGCTGGCCCGGAGGGGCTGAGCCGCCGCCGTGCTGCCCCCGAGAGATGCGCCCCCAGAGACGGGCAGCTGCACCCCTGACTCGGCCAAGAAAGCCCCCTTGCAAACATGCACGGGAGAGGGGACTGACCCGCCCCCAGAGGGGATGACAGCCCCCAGAGATGGGCAGCTCCGCCCGCGACCCGGCCGAGAAGACGTGACCCCCTTACAAACATGCACGGGAGAGGGGACTGACCCTCCTCAGAAACCCTCCTCCAGAGGGGGCTGCCCCCCCAAGAGATGGGCAGCTGCGCCCCCCACCCGGCCGGGAAAGCCCCCTTACAAACATGCACAGGCGAGGGGACTGACCCTCCTCAGAGACCCTCCTCCAGAGAGGGCTGCCCCCCCAAGAGACGGGCAGCTGCGCCCCCAACAGGGCAAGAAGGGGTGACCCTCTTACAAACATGCACGGGAGAGGGGACTGACCCTCCTCCAGAGATGCGCCCCCCGAGGGGGCTGACACCCCCCAGAGATGGGCAGCTCCGCCCCCGACCCGGCCAATAAGGCCCCCTTACAAACATGCACAGGCGAGGGGACTGACCCTCCTCAGAGACCCTCCTCCAGAGGGGGCTGCCCCCCCACCCGGCCAGGAAAGCCCTCTTACAAACATGCACGGGAGAGGGGACTGACCCTCCTCAGAGACCCTCCTCCAGAGGGGGCTGCCCCCCACCCGGCCAGGAAAGCCCTCTTACAAACATGCACGGGAGAGGGGACTGACCCTCCTCAGAGATGCTCCCCTAGAGGGGGCTGACCTCCCCAAGAGATGGGCAGCTCTGCCCTCCATCCGGCAGGGAGGGCGTGATACCCCCCCCCAGCCAATGTGCGATTAGGGAGAGGGGGCTGACACCCCACCCCCCAACAACATGCACCCAAGAAACGGGCAGCTCTGCCCCCAACCCGGCCAAGAAGGCGTGACCCTCTTACAAACAAGGGAGGACTGGCCCTCCCCCAGAGGGGGCTGACCCCAAGTCCAACAACCAGCATCCAAGAGACTGGATAGCTCCGCCTTCGCCTGGCTGGAAGGACGTGACCACCACCACGCCCTCCCTACAGATGTCCAGGTGAAAGGAGACTGATGCACACTCCCCCCTTCCCCCATAGATGTGCAGCTCTGCCCCTAACCTGACCAGAACAGGGTGATCCCTGCCCCTCCACCTGTGCAACCCACCCCTGGGCTGGCCAAGAAAAGATCACACACACTCTCTCACACACACACGCAGCTCCTCACTGTAACCAGCCAGGAGGAGGTGACCTTTGCCTCTCCAGGTGTGCGGGTCCATCCTCAGGCTGGCCAAGAAAGGGTGACCCCATGCATACAACCCCCTGTCCAAGAGATATGCATATGTGGCAGAGAGGGGGAGGGGGTAAAACTCCTGTCTCTTGTGGTGTGCAGCCCCCACCCCCAGGCTGGCCAGGAGGGGTGGCCCTTCCTCCCCATCAGCTGTTAAGCCCCATCCCCATATCATCTGGAGGTAGTGATTTTTCCAGCTCCACAAGGTGGTGATGCCTGTCCCTACCCCCGTTCGCCTTTCCAGCTCTGAAGCTGCTGCCCTGGCTAGCCAAGAGACAGTAACTGCACACACACACCACTTCTAAAGCCCTCTCTTCCACCTAATGAAGGAAGCCTGCACTCACAGGCATGTGTGAAGTCCTGCTTATGAGGAGAGGGTGACTCTAGCTCCCACGTTCTTGTCTAAAGGAGGTGACCCCCTCTATCCAAGCTCTCCAAAGGGGTGGGGAACTCCCAGCATTACTGTTTGGCTGTAGAGGAGCTGGGCACCCTTTGCACTCCAGCTGTGAAGCCCTGTCCTTCACCAAGCACACACATCTCAAGACCCTCATTCAGTCATTCTTTTTCCAGAAAGTGCCCCTTCTTACATTCATTCTCCCAGTTGACCCCACCCTGCAGCTCTTACCACTATGGGGCCCAGCACTCTTTGTCTTCCTGGTTCCATCCTTTCCCTACAGCGGCAGCTCTTCCCGTACCCAGGGACTGAATATGGGTTGGGTTTTTTGGTTTTTTAATAAAACGGAATTTCTGAGATTAGTCTCCTCTCCAAGGGCATCGATAAGCAGAGAGCCAAGGCTCTGGGGAGGAGTCAGCCTCGGAGCAGGGGTTGGCAGCTGGAAGGACCGTTGAGATGAGAAGCAGAGTCCTAGAGAGGTTCACTGACTTACCTGGGTCATCCAGCTAGCTGTAATAAGTGTAGGATGGAGGATTTGAAACTGGCTCTTACCAAGTGGGGAGCCATGCTGCTACACATGACTTCCAAGTAGAATCCCAGAGTTGGGAGGGATGTCAGAGGCACCACCTGCAATCTCTCTGAATGAGAATCCCCCTTGCCTTCCCCAAAACCCACCCCCACCAGCCTTCCTTTGAAAACCTCCAATAAGAGGAAGCCAGTTCCTCTTGGGACAGGTGTCATTGTTCCTCTGCTTTGGTTTGCTTTGGGGGGGGGGGGACTGGCATTGAAATTTGGTGTTTGCATTTATTCTGCAAATATCCAGAGAGCCCCAGTGCAACACACAGGTTCTTAGCTGCTTAAGAGCACAGTCCTTAGTTCTCTAACCCTCACAGCCCTGGACCCGGCACAGGGACTGGCTGGGTTACTTGGCAGCCTGGTGTGTTGGTTTTGAAATCAAAAGACCTGAGCTTGACCAATAGCTCTTACCTGTGTGACCTTCAGACGGTCTCTAGGTGGTGCCACAGGGCACAGAGCACTGGGCGTGGAGGCAGGAAGACCTCAGTTCGATTGCAACCTCAGACTCAACTAGCTGTGTGACCTTGGGCAAGTCACTTCTGTTTCCTTAATTGTAAAATGGAGATAATACCAGCACCTGGCTCCCAGGATTGTTTTGAGGCTCAGATGAGAAGTGTGTAAAGTTCTTCTCACTAGTCCTGGCACTGTATAAATGTGAGCTGTTACACTTATTCGTATAAGACGTGGGTTCTGGGCTGAAGGGACCATTCCTTCCGGCTTCAGATTTGGATTAGACAGGCTTCGAGGTAGCATGGCAGAAAGAAGCTGTTCTTCACTCAGCAGTTGTCCAGTCGTTTCAGTCATGTCCAGCTCTTTGTGACCCCGTTGGGGGTTTTCTTGGCAGATACCAGAATGGTTGGCCATTTCCTTCTCCAGCTCATTTTACAGATGAGGAAACTGAGGCTGACAGGGTGAAGTGACTTGTCACACAGCTAGTAAGTGTCTGAGGCTGGATTTGAACTCGGGTCTTCCTGACTCCAGGCCCACCTCTCTATCCACTGCACCACCTAGGTTACTGGCTGGCTATGTGATAGTGTCCAAGCCCTACCCGCTCTCTGGCATTCCAGTTGAGAAGCCCTGCTCCAGCTTTTTGGGAGGAAACCTAGACAGACAGATGTTAAGTGACTTGCCCAGGGTCACACAACTGGGGCATGTGTGAGGCCAAATTCAAACTCAGATCTTCCTTACGTGGATGGGCCTGCACTTGAGGAATAAATAGTTACTTCCTGGGTTCCTCAGACCCATGGGATGTTCACTGCTGGAAGAAACCCCAGCCACCACCTCGTCCTGCCCCTTTGACGTAATGATGCATGTGGAGTCCTTTAGGTTTTCGAGACACCTAGCCTCTGTTGATCTTCCTAAGAGCCCCCTGGCAAGTAAGAGAGGTATTCTCCCCATTTCTCAGGAGGGCCTGGAGGCTCTGAGAGGTGACATATTAGCCTGAGGCTCTTTCTCCAAGTTCAGGGTGCTTTCCCACCCAATCCAACGACTATTTGAGATCCTATGGTGCCAGGCGCTGAGCTTGGGCTGGGGCAGTCCCTTCACTCAAGGACGTGCCAGCAGATGGCATCTCTATGATGACTTAAGGAGTAGGGAGAGAGCACCTGAAGAAGGTGGAACTGAAGGATTCCCAAATGTGCTGCCGGAGAGCTGAGCCTTCAAGGAAGCGAGGAATTCTAAGGAGCTGAGCTGAGGAAGGAGGCCGTTCTTGGTGTGGCAAAGGCCTTTCTGATGGGAGGCTTTCGGTGCCTCAAAGAGGGTCTTATCTGTAGGTTATCCTAGAAGCAAGAAGGAGCTATTATGATATATGATATATTCATACTTGTGCTTTGGGGGAGACTGAGGCTGGAGCCAAAAGTCACACGGAGAGCAAACAGCCACGCCAGGGACTGAGCCCATGCCTTCCCACTGCCAATCCAAGGCCTCTCCCACCATGCCGCGCTGGGTCACTTACAACCTGTCCTCATGGCCCTCTACTCGTGTGTCCCGCGTGAGAACTCAGAACTGACTCTTAACATGATGCCCGTGAGCGCTCTGCACTCTGCAACCACACAAGAGACACTAGGGGATTCTAGTAATACTCTCAGCTCCCACTTCCATGGCATCCTCTTGTTGACCAAGCATTTTCTTCATAAGGAATCCTAGCAGCCTGTGATCTCAGTGCCATTCACTGTTGAGGCACTGTGATTCTGAGCTAAGTTCCAATGAAAAGACAGGAGAGTTAGGGAAGAGGGGACAAATATGATCATCCCCATTCACCGATGAAGAAACTGAGTCCCCCAAAAATGAGGTGACTTATCCAAGGTCACATAGCGCGTGAGCATCGTAGCCAGGATTGGACCCCTAGACATCTAAACTCAGGCCCAAGAGTCACCCTGTTTCCTTCTCAGTCTCTTGTCCAGCTGCTCGATGGTATTGTGAGGGCCTAGTGAGCTGTCGGTCCTGCCAGTGCGCTTGCTTTCACTGTCTAAAGGGTTAAGCAGTTCTCAGGTTTGCCCTGTCCCCCTTCCCCCACAGTGTGGCTTAGTGGATGGGGTACTCGACTTGGAGTCAGGAAGACCACAGTTCAAATCCAGCTTTTGACACAGCTTATGTCACACTGGACAAGTCCCTTCGCTTCTCTGAGCTCCAGTCTCGTCATCTACAAAGGAGAATGATCATGTCTACTACAAAAGTTGTTGTGAGGATGAGATGAGATGATAATGTATGGAAAGTGTTTGCAAATCCTAAGGCACATTATTGATGAGCCACTGTTATGTTATTATTCTATATACCTCAAGGCAATTTGTATGGCCTGACCCAAGGGTGTGTGT